AAATAAACTGATAAAATGAAAAATACCAAATCACTTGGTATTTAACATGGTATTTGACATGGGAAAAAGTTTTGAATTTTTTCCTATGTCAAATCCTGTCTCAATTTCCCATGAAGATTTATATGGGAAACAATATGGTTTCCTATATGGGAGTGGGTTTTTAGATAGCTTTTAACATAGGATCCCATGTGGTTTCCCATGTGCGGATTTTCAATTGGGAGAAATAAAAAAAAAAAATTTGACCATTTTAGAAATTTAATTTTTTTTAAATATTAAAATTTTTAAAGTTTTATACGATTGATTCTTCAAAATCATGAAAAAACCTACAAAAAATTACCGATAAAAAATAATAAAAATGGTTGAAGTTGAATTTTCAAGGAATAATTGATAAAATTTAAACCAAACATAATTGGTTTGGTTTAAGAGGAAGAATTTTTAAAAAAAATTTGTTAGAACCAGAAATCATATTTCACTATGAAAAATAAAAAAAGTAGTTTTTAAGAATTTTACATCTTTTTAGGGTTCCGTACCCGAAGGGGGAACCCTATTAATGAGACTAGTGAAGCAAGGCATGTACCCCCCCCCCCTAGCGGTCACACGAATTTATCTAGAGGGCTGAAATTTGGTATACATTGTATTTTGGCGTTTAGATTATAGGAAAAATATAGCGAATCTCATAGGAATTGATTATCATAGCGTTGTCAAGGAAAAACCATGAATTTTTACGAAAAATCCCTGAAAATAACTATGTACCCCCCCCCCCCCCCCCCGGTTGCCACATCTTCTAACATAGAGAGCTCAAATTTAGTACACTTATGTATTTTTACGTGAAAATTACAGGAAAAAAAATAGCGAACATGATTCGGATAGATTTACATAGCGTTGTCGAGGAAAAATAAAAAATTTTGAAAAAAAGCGTTTAATCCACCTAGCGCACACACTATTTGACCAAGACAGTTCATATTGGGTATACTTATGTATTTTTGCGTGCAGATTACAGGAAAAATATAGCGAGCACGATTGGAGTTGATGATCATATTGTTTTTAAGGAAAACTCATATTTTTAGAAAAAATCATGGGTTTTTCGAATAAAAAAAGAAGAAAATTTTATCCTAAGAGATCGAAATTTTTACTTTTTTACGTATTTTTACGAGTAGATTATAGAAAAAATATAGCGAGAACGATTCGAGTTGAGTATCATAGCGTTTTCAAAGAAAAACTGATAATTTTCGACAAAAATTATGAATTTTCCTCAAAAACCGAAGAAAAATTTATCTAAAGAGTTTCAAATATATACACTTTTACGTATTTTTGCGTGTAGATTACAAAAAAAAATATAGCAAGAACGATTGGAGTTGATTATTATAGCGTTTTCAAGGAAAAACTGATAATTTTCGATAAAAATCATGATTTTTCAACAAAAAAATTTTTTAATTGAGTTTTTTCAAAACATACAATTTTTTTAAAAAGTGGACTTTTTCCTCAAGTTTTACAATTTTTGACCCAGAAAGATAAAATTTTCTTCCTTTTTTTGGGGCAAATTCTTGATTATTTTTCAACTCCAATTGTGCTTGCTATATTTTTTTGTAGTGTTTTGCCATTCTTTATAATTTGCCATTTTCTATTTTTTAACATTTGCTATTTTTTTTATCTTTTGACATTTTTTATTTGTTGATATTTTTATTATTTTTTAGTTTTATTAATTTATTTTCAAATCTATGCTCTCTCATTATTTTCAAATTTATGCGTAGATTATGTTCTATGTTTATGTCTATGTTTTCTATCTAGGCTTTCAAACTTTAAACCCCTCAAATTTTAGGTTTGAGGGTACGGAACCCTCGGTTTTAATGCGAGTGTAACTCGCACTTGTCCGATTTTTTTATATTTCAGAAATTTTATTTTCTAAAAAAATTTGAATTTTTTAATAATCCATACGATAGATTGTTCATAATCATGAAAAAAATGTATAAAAAAACCAGCAATGAATAATAATAGAAGTTTCGACAGAAGTTTAAATGTTTAGTTTTTGGACACTTTAAGTTTTATTTAAAAAATTATTAATGAATTAAGTAGTTTTCAGTTTCCCATATTATATTACAGTTTTAAATACTCAATATTGTCAAAAAAAAATTGACAACCTTAAACAGCCTTAATTTCGAAAGGTTGAAATTTCATCGGTCTCTCTCCTTAATCTACGTCTCTCTATTAACTCATCACAATCCTCGTCCCACCAAAGTGGCTGGGACTTACGTTTTCTCGGGTTATCAGAAGGATAGTATGCTCCACTCTCTTTAATATTACTGTTAATTCTCTCAATGAGTTTGTCATATATCACTACTGGATCTGAACTCTGATCCAGTTTTGAAGACAATACTCTTGCATCTACACTGCCGTACAGATTAAAAAGGTCGCGTCATTATTGTAGTATAAACATGAGAAAATCAACCTAAGCGACAATGGCGCTTATGTATCTTTTTAATTTGTACGGCAGTACAGACATCTGCTGCGAAAACCCTCCCCACGACACTTTAATCAATTTGAAACGTTTGTTGAAAGCCCTAACATATTTAGGTAAAACGTTAATTCCAGCCTTGACAAGGAGATGATTCGTGCCAAACAGATCAATTGTAACCTCTATATCAAAGAGACATGCTAAATCAGCAGAAACCAAAACAAGGTCCAGATTATTCTGTGTTTTTCAACAGAAGTCCTCATGAGTGGGGATTGAGTCATTTAAATTTACCAAGCTATAAGTATCCAATAATTCCAAGATATGAATACCTCTAGGGGTATCATGTTCCTGCAACAATTCCAACCAACAATTAGGTGGGATGACTACACCGGGAGAAGCATAAACTAAAACAAATTGAATTGTTTCAGTTCATATTCGAATGGCCACGATATCAAAAAAATCTTTATAGCTACCGTGCAACACCATAGGTGTGATTATTAAGGTTCTTTTTGCTAAAATCATCTAACCTCCTCCCAAGTTTGGACCTGGTCTATCGCATCTATAAGAATAATAACCAAAAACAGATTAATCAACTACCTGGTCCGTGAGCTATGTTTCCGTCACAGCCAGAAGATCAAAATCATACGTGGAAAGCATCAATTCAACTTCCACCTTTTTGTTCACAACGCTGTGTGCGTTTTAATTTCCAAATTTAATATTTTTGACTCGCATTTTGACTAAAGAGAATTATAAAGAAAACAGGTACTACTAATAAAATTTATACAACGAAAAATAACATAAGCTCCTATTTTAAGCAGGCTTGAATCAACCAGAGAATTTCTGAAAGATCAAGTAAAAACTAGAAGAGAAAAGAGAAAAATAAAACAAAACAGGAAACATAAACAAAAAGAAAATAATAAAAAAAAGGGAGAAAAATCAGTCTCGGAGGTCCAACATAGAATGATTTAATTTTCGGCAATGTGAAGATCATTAAGATCCTCACAATGTTTAGTCATCCTATCACCAACATCCTGTTCAGAAGAGTCGAGTAAGTCCCTATCTGCTCATCAGAATTTACGACACTTATATCCTGACACAAGTTTTGAATCAAACACTCCGAACCTATTTCCTCAATTTGAGAATCAGTAATAATTGTCTGCTGCCAATAAGGTGTAGAAATATTTCTGTCCACTTGTTCTTCCAATTCTGAAAACAACGGATGTTTACCTAAATCCAACGTTTCAGATGCTCCTAAATTTCTCTCTTGAGAAAAATCAGTGTCTCTCATTGGTAAATAATCCGAGAGAGATGCTGCAGCATTAGACAGGTCAGGATCCGAGGAGTCTTGCCCAGCAACTTGAGAGGAAAGGATGGGAAATTGAGCATTAGAGTCAAAATCCCTTGTCTCACTCTGATCATTATCATTGGTACTACGTACAGATTCCAGATAATTATTATTTATTTTGTTAAAGTTTGTATTAGGGAAACTAGGGTTACTACAATAGTTCTGAAACAACTCTGGGGATTTCTTTTTTTAAACCTTAATAGCCTCCATTCTTTGGATATTCGAGAAATAACGCAATTTGGATACCTCGAATTCCAACTTATAGGTAGGGCAATCTGTGGATGAAGCAATATGTTTGCCTTTGCAATTTTTACACCTATTACTACTGTTAGGATTGAGACAGGAGTTAGTATGATGCCCCTCTGAACAAAATTAGCAGTATGGTCTTGATGATCTGCATTGTGCCGCTATATAGCAAAATCTCTGACAACGGAAGCATCTAGAAAGCTTCGGAATGACCGGTGTAATAAGAAGGTAGTAACCTTCAATCTCTATAAACTTTGGAATAATAACACTCTCGAAAACAAACTCCATACGCATGGATGGGGTTCGATCAGGATTGAGACACCTTTTATCTGAGAAGATGAGTTTTTGATCCTCGGGATCGATACATTCAACTATTCTTCGTATTGACTGATTAATTGAAAAGGTAGAAATGAATTCCTTTTTTCTAATATAAGGTTCAGGAATAATAATTTTAAAGCCTAGCCAATTCTTCGAAATCAATTAGTTAATTCGTTTCTATATTGCTTCCTCATGGAGAAAGCTTTGTAATACCGAAATTTTTCGAAATTTCCGTAGGGGAGAATAGGGCAAGGATAGTTAGTTGCTGTTACGCTTAGACAGCTTGCTCAAAAATCGCGTCATTCATGGTATATTTGCGTCTTAACACCAATTAGATGATCGTAAAAATTGGAAGTCCATCTGCCAACATTTGCGAAGTCAGAAGTTTATTTTTGTAAAAAGTATGTTTTGCTAAAATGTCAACGTAGTGTTTATCATATTATTTTCAATATTAGTGCTTCCGAATATTTATTTACGTAAGTGTTTTCCGAAGTGGAATTTCCTGCTGAACACGAATATCGTATTTATTTTCAAATTAATTCACGACGTTTCTTAAACTTTAGAAAAAACTGAAATATGGGCTCATGGGGAAAGGATAGTTAGAGCTATTACGGCTACATAAAATCATGCTAATGCGACTGCAAATTATCAAAAAATGTTTAATTATTCTTTTTAGGTTGATATACATAATGGTACGTAATTATATACAGAACGAAGCTTATTGACTAAGAAATTGGTGATCATCTGAAGAAAATTGGTTAAACCTCAGATTCTAGTTCTGACGAATTTTAATGCAATAAATAATTGATATTTATAGAATGTTTAAAACATGTTGTTAATACTTGATATATCAATATTGAATAGTTTAAATCCAATAAAATAAAGAAAACGAAAAGTTACTGATTTTCTATGACATTTTTAGCATTCGGATTCTTGTAACTATCCTTGCCCCGGTACTGGGGGAAGGATAGTGGAATACATAGTGGAATACATTATATATATTATAATAATACTATATACCACCAAGATGAATAGCGTCCAAAATGTGTGTAGCCATAGTTTCGCTAAGCGTTTGTACGCAGACAGGAACTTTCATTTTTTTTTATTTTCCCGGGTCTGACGTGTTCTTCCGTAAATTTTGTTAATCTTTTGTGAAGAGAATCACAATGCTGGTCCATGTCAAATGCATCTTGAATAACATCCCAAGAGGCGAATTTTTTTCAACTGAAGAATTTCTGCCAGCTTCAACAATGTTTGTTAGAACGTTCTTAACGGCAAAATTATTTCGAACACTCTTATGAACATGGACAGGATCGAAGATCATAATGAGTTTAACACCTTCTACTTCTACTTGAACCGGATATCCTAGAAAATTTCATTGAATTAATTAATATATATATTTTTTTTAAAGATATAAAAGAAGTCAATTTTAAAATATTTTATCAGAATTCCTAAATTTTACAATCATAAATTTATTAAACTAATTTTTTTTCATTTTGTATAATTTAAATATATTTATGACTTTAGATTTTCTCTGTTTGAAATTTTATTTGTTCCTCTCATTAATAAATAAATCGCATCTTTTCATATCTGTTATCTTATCTTTTATCTATCTGTCGAAAAATAATTTTAAACGCTTAAAGAAATATGTAAATTAATAATCTTTTTTATCAATATTATTTTCTCATTAATCATATTATAAATTATAATTTACCTTTTTGAGTGTTCTTGTCGAGTAATTGGCATTATTTAATTTTTCAGCTAGAAAAATATATAATAAATATGAATATAGCGAATTTAATTTAATTATTCAAATAAGTTCTGTTGTAACGTTAATTTGTAATGACAAGCTGAACTGTCTTGAATGCGAATTCCATTAAAAACTTCTTGCCAAAAGAGATAGGTAATAATGGTTTATGATTGGTTGTTTCAAATATACCCAGGGTCAAATTGCTAATTGAACAAGTTTGAATTTTTATAAAAATTATCTGTCGCATCATCTATAATTAAGATTGGACAAATTAGAAACTAACATTTGAAAATGTCTTCTTGAAATTATTTCGTTTTCTAACCTCTAAATTATTAAATTTCTTCAATTTCACATAAATTAATAAAAAAATTTAGTATTAAAAAAATATAATTTTATGCGTTTTTCACATGTTTACATTTGCTGATAATTTCAAAGAGGCTATTGTTAAAAAATTAAAAGTAACGAATAATAAAGGTAATCACGAATTAAAAGTAAATGAACAAAAATGGTTAATAATTTAGAAATTGATTGTTCCCCTGGTGATTGTACAAAAGATGTTAATGTTGAATATCTCAATACTCCTGGATTTTGTTGCGAAGATTGTCCAATTTAATTTTCGTTGTTTTTATCCCATGAAGCAATTAACGAAGAAACAAACGAGTTACGTTTTAAATACAAGTCGGAAGTCCGCCATCACGTAATCATTCCAATCGTTGAAATCGAAGATAAATTTTGCCTAATCTTGGAATTATTGCAAGTCTTCTACCAATTTTCACTGAATGTCCAGGACATTAACAATTTTTGTTGTTTTCATTATAACGAATTATTAATAATTAAATTAATTCGACTGGAAAATAATACAGTGGTGTGAAATAAGAAAATGGCTTCTTTTTTATGCGAAATTTCACAACTGACAAGTTAAATTGACTTGTTCGCCTTTTGGAGATTATGATTTTTGTGATTTTCCAAATAATTCGAAATAATTTGAAATTAGTTATTATTGATTTTAAATACAACTTACCAATATCGCCATTGTTTCTCAAACATTGCTCTCTGTAATCTCTTTTACTGCCTTGACCTTAGACGTTCCTTGGTCGCATATTGTTAATATCAGTTCAAGACCGATGTCTTTAACTGCCTTTACATTTTCTTTAATACCTACTACTAATTACTCCCATTTTGTTCATGTATGGCAAAAGTAGTAGGAAAAGTGCTTCTTCTCGACAGTTTTTAATGTTCTAATCATGAACACGAGGAGATGATCGGCAAATTGGCAGGTCCTTTTGTAACCAAAATTTTCAAATCCCAGAATTAAGTCTTTTTGTCCATCATATGACACATGCGGCAAGAATTCCATTTCGTCCCACATCATTTCTGTCAGTTTTTGATCGGATTCAAAATTTTCCACTTCTGACTTCAAATGTGTCATTGAGTTTTGATTAATTCCAGTATGTAATGTGAACTTACGCATGAATCTTTTCAAACTTCTTATAGACGGACAAATTATTACTTGACGCAAAAACCTATATGCTTTTGGGGACACCTTATAAAGGGATAAGCAAAGTGACTTTTGGCTTCTGGTGAATAGTTGTCCTTGTTTTTCTCTTCCTACATTTTTTAATTGCATTTCTATAATGTCTTTTTGTGTGGAAAAAATTTTCTCAAAATTTGATGGATCATTTTTCTTAATTTCTTTAATACGTATTTTAGCTCCATAAATTAAAAAAATTTTTAATAAAAATTATATATATCGTGTGATTAATATATTGTTCCATTAAAAGTAATAAAATTGTATCAAATATTATTTATTTTTGTTTGTAAATCCAAATTAGACGAAACGTTTCCTTCATTTTCTTTATGTCTGTTGAAAATTACATTACACTACATACTCCACCTAATTCCAGAAACATTTTCTTCATTGGACAACAATCTGTGCGGTTACACTCTATTTCATCGTCCACCGAATCATCCACTTTCCGCTTAATAGGAGTCATCAAAGATGACTTTCTGATATCATCAGAGAGTGTGCGAATTGAAGAAAACGCCAATCCTGGTGATATTTGCAATGGCATAAAAACATTGCCTGATCATTACGAATGACGTCTTCAAGTGTCAATGAGATGATTTTTTCTTCCAAATTATTTTTATCATCTAGATGATATGGTGGTGGTAAATTTTTTTAGGTATGACACCAGACTTTAACCGCGGGCGTAAATTTCCTCCCATATAATCCGCGTCTTCAAAATGTTCTCTACATATTTTATATTTTTTTAAAAAAATCTCCATATGAGATATTTTTTAAAGCCGGATTATTAATCGCTTCCAACCATTTTTCACCCAGATTCGAATCATATGGCAACATATGAAATGTTGTCACATTTTTCGATTCACAATTTGGGACAATGCATTTCCTCCCATGCGTACTTGAGATTATGCACTTGGGATTCCATTGCGCTAAAAGCAAATGTACAAAAGGCAATTATTGCTTGGTTACTAAGGAAAAAACTACATGACATTTGGAAAATAAATGTGACAATTATAATTAAATATTTATAACAAAATATTTAAGCTAAAATTTATACATGTATTTTTAACCTTAGTAAACAAAGAAAAAATTGCCTTTCTTTACAGAAAAAATTGACTTATATATGCATTTGCTTTAGTTATAAGGCAAAATTGCCTTATTCCAAAGCATATTTTATACTATTTTTTTCAGTGTATAACTTGTGACAACCCTTATAACTAATATATTGTAAAGAATAAATTCATAAAAATTAAATATTAATAATATTTCAAGATTAAAACACCAACCTGTAATTTGAAGTTGAATTTAGCACTGTGTCTCAATCAAATATGATAGTGCTCCTCGAAGAAGGGTTCTTTCTTGGCTCCTTTGGTAGAAAAGACGACGAGGCATGCAGCGCTCCTCAATTTTCTACAAATAATGGCGTTAAAAAATACCATATTAGTGATACTAGTAAAATAATTAAAATAAAGAAAATCATTATAATATTAATTATAATTATTAAAATTATTTTAAACTTCATTTATATATTTTCAATAAAACAAATTAAAAAATAAAAAACACTTACCGATCACAAGCAATATCTTATTCTTTTGGACCACCAGCAACATCATTTTTTGTTTCATTGTTCAATTCTGTAAGTAAAAAGAAAACTCCTTTTTTACTTTTACAATCGATCAATTTTCTTTTTAAATATAATGGACAAGTGTTCAGCTTTGAAACTAAATTTGACATGAAATTATCTGTGTCAAGATATTTTGAGGTTATACTTTGTTCAGTGTTATCTTTGTAAAAATAAACAGGATTTTCATATTTACTGGCACAACTCACTTAAAATAATAAAATTATATATAACGTTGAATGCAATTATTGATGTAAAGTAGTGTAAATAGCTATAAATATCAATTTTCCTTAACGAAGAATTTAATTTCTTTCAACAACGTTTACTGTATACTATAAATAAGCGCCATACTTTTTTAATGTATTTCTACCAACTTGACAGCAAAAAACTTTGAAACTATTTTTTAACTGATAATATAGAAGTTATTTTTTACTGAATTCTTTTAATCTTTTCTTGTATCATATTCAAATAAATGAACATTAAATTTTTTTATAACAAATTATGTATTTGTACTTTGAATTACATTTTACCTGTTTGAATTCTAAAATTTTGAGGTCAAAATCTTCTTGTCAAAATTTTTTTATCAAAATATGTTAAAAAATACAAATACTTACTTTAATAATATTCCGTTTTGTTCATTATGCCGCTATGCATTATGAGGTGTCACAAAGTTTTAGGTTAAACTTTTAAATCACTACCGATGAATTTCTTCGTAATTATATTTCTGGAATTTATAAAATTTTCCCGGACAGCACCGAAACTCCCCTGAACCTTGCCTGAACCTCGCTTGACGAGGTTCGGGAACTTGAGTCGCGAGGTCCAAACGAGGTTGAGTTAATGTTTAAATGTCCGCGCATAATAAAGGTCAGTCACAGAGGTTGGCTGAATATTGGATTTTAATTTATGTTAAATATTAAAATGAAAGATTATTGGCATATTGTGAGAGGATATTTAAGGAAATTAAAAATTCAAGATTTGTTTAATGTAATCGTTAAATATTCTGGAAATTTGGAGGGAGCAAAAATACGGAAAAATAAAAAGAAAGCAAATGAATTTAAAAAACTATTGAAAATCGCATTTTCTATGACATGGGAAAGCGTAAATAAAACAGAAATTAATAGACAATCATAAATACAGTTATATTTATTAGTAATAAATTATTATTATTACATTAAATTACAAATAGTGTTAAACTTTTTTGACAAGAAATAATTATATTTCTGCCAAAAAAATTCTGATAACTCGTTTTAATAAAATTTGCATTTACTTTTTAATTTTTTTTTAATTTTAATTTTTTATTAGCACATGAAATGTGCCTGCAGACTCTCAAAAAAACCTTTAAAAATACAATTTTTATGTAACTACTAATAAATATAACTGTATTTATGATTGTCTATTAATTTCTGTTTTATTTACGCTTTCCCATGTCATAGAAAATGCAATTTTCAATAGTTTTTTAAATTCATTTGCTTTCTTTTTATTTTTCCGTATTTTTGCTCCCTCCAAATTTCCAGAATATTTAACGATTACATTTAACAAATCTTGAATTTTTAAATTCCTTAAATATCCTCTCACAATATGCCAATAATCTTTAATTTTAATATTTAACATAAATTAAAATCCAATATTCAGCCAACCTCTATGACTGATCTTTATTATGCGCGGACATTTAAACATTAACTCAACCTCGTGTGGACCTCGCGACTCAAGTTCCCGAACCTCGTCAAGCGAGGTTCAGTCAAGGTTCAGGGAAGTTTCGGTGCTGTCCGGGTTATTTACTCACAATTTATTTATTATAACGTACATTACCCGCAATGTTAAAAAATATAATTACTTTAATAATGTTCCGTTTTGTTAATTATTTATATTGAAAATAAAAATAAAGCAACGCAAACAAACAGACATTTGTAAATAGATGCTACGAAGCTGAAGTACACAACGTTTATCAACGAAATTTTTTTTAAAGTTCTATATTAAGCCTAAATTACATATATTTATTGTAGGCGGAATATTTAAAGCATTTTTCAGATAAATATTCTGCCTATGTTAAATATATGTAATTTAGACGTAATATTTCACTTTTTAAAAAAAATGTTTTTCTTGATAAACGTTGCGTACTTCAGCTTCGTTTCAATTCTATTAAATATTAATTACACTGGAAACTCCCAATAGCGTACAGCATTAGTCTTATTCCGATCTACGGAAAAATATCCTTGACGTGGAATACTATAAACACTCAGGGCAGTACAATGAATTACTAGTGCTTTTAGCAGAATACATTGTGCATATTATTATAAATATTAATTAATTTTGTTTTTATAATAAAGTATTGTAAGTTGTAATTTTATAATTAATATTTTTTTTCAAAATTTAGTAATTAATAAGCCAATAAAACTGCTTGAAAAGTAATGGTACACTCAAAGCAGACGCTCTAGCTTTCTGATTTCTGTTTCTGATCCCGCCCAACCCTTTCCTCCTTCATAAATAAATATGAAAGGAGGTCAAGACACAAGGAGGTGGATAGTGAGGGGAAGAGGTTAATAGAGTTGGTTCAGGATTATGGTTGGACGATTTGCAACGGAAATATAAAGGGGGATGAAGAGCGGGAATTCACATTTGTGGGGAGGTGGGATACAGTTATCGATTATGTCTTGGCAGAAGAGAAGGTGAGAGAGAAAATAATAAGGATGGAGGTAGGAAGTGAGATCGGTGCAGACCACTTTCCGATAACGGTGGAGATAGGGAGGGAGGGATACAAGAGTGATGTAAGAAGGAAAAAAGAGAGGAGAGAAGGGAAAGTAAAGATGGGAAATGGAGTGCAGTGAAATTAAAGTTGTTTGAAAGAAGGTTGCAGGAGGAATGGATAAGAGGAAGAGAAGAAGAAAAGGTCGATGAGAGAATAGAACGAGTAAGGAAGAATATTGAAAAGCTAAAGAAGGACATGGGAAAGGAGGGAGATAGTGAAGAAAGAAGGATAGGGTGGTGGCATGAGGAGTGCGCTGCGAGTAGGAATCGAATGAAGGTAAACATTAAAGAGTGGAGGGAAGGTAGAATCAGCAGGAAAGAGTACAAGAGGAGGCAGAGAAATAATGCGAAGATGCTGAAGTACAAGAAAGAGGAGGAGAGAAAAAAATTTATGGCAGAGGTGGAAAAGGCGGTTAGAAAGGGAATGGGAAGTTATAAATAGGGAAAGAAATAGGAGAGAAATGGTAGATAGGAGCATTGGAATGGGGAAATGGACGAAATACTTTAAAGGATTAAGTGGTGGAGTGGACAACAGAGTGGTGGGTGAGAGAAGAAAAGTGACGCAAGAGGGTGGGATTACTGAGATAAGCATGGAGAAGGTGGAAGCAGCGATATCTAGGTTGAAAAGAAACAAAGCAGCTGGTCAGGATGAAATTGAAGCGGGGAGTATGAAATATGGGTGGGAGGTGGTAAGAAGAGAAATGCTGGATATTTTAAATAAGGTGTGGAAAGAAGAGGGGTGGCCAAAGGATTGGAAGTTGGGGTTAATAGTACCGCTGGTAAAAAAGGGAGAAGGGAAGAAAGTGGAAGACTATAAAGGGTTCTCATTGATGCCGGTGGGTTAAAAAATTTATAAGGAAATTCTAAGGAAAAGGCTGGAAGAGAGCGTTGAGAGGGTGGGGGGAATTCCACACAATCAGGCGGGTTTTAGAAAAGAGATGGGGACGATGGACCATATATTTATATATATGGTCCATCGTCCCCATCCCTTTTCTAAAACCCGCCTGATATATATACACTAAATTATTTAGTTAACAGAAATTTAAAAAGGGAGAAAGGGAAATTACTGGGGTTATTTGTGGATTTTAAAGAGGCGTTCCCATCGGTGGACAGGGGGATCTTGTGGAAAACGCTAAAGGAGAGGGGTATAGAGGACGGTGAAGTGTTCTAGATGGGAAGAGGTCTACTACAGGGCTGCCCGCTGAGTCCATTATTGTTTAGTCTATTAATGGTGGATTTGGAGGAGAGGATGAAAAAGAGAGGTAAGGGAGGAGTAGTGTTGGGAACAGGAAGAATGTTTTCGCTTGCGTACGCGGATGATGTTGTGTTGTTGGCTGAAAGTGAGATGCGATTGTTGATGAAAGAATTTGAGAGCTACGTGAGAGCGAAAGATTTGTGGATAAATGTGGAAAAAACTGAAATGGTGAGATTCAGGAACAGAAAGAGTGGGGTGGCGGAGGTATGGAAGTTGAATGGTAGAGAGGTAGAAGAAGTGGATGAATTTTGTTATTTAGGTTTTTGGTTCAGATGTAATGGTGCGCATGACTTGCAAGTGAGCAGTAGGGTGGAGAAAGCGGGAAAGATAATGGGACAAGTGTGGGGAATATGAGATTTACGAATGATTGGAAAAAGAGAATATGGTTGTTTGACGTGCTAGTATGGTCGGTGTTGTGTTATGGTGTGGAAGTTTGGGGTTGGAAGGAGTGGAAAAGAGTGGAAAGTATGAATGAGAGGTATTTGAGATGGCGATGGGTGTGAGTGCGAGCTGTCCGGAGTACATGTTGAGAGAGGAAGTAGGCAGAGAAAGGATAATGGTGAGACAAAGAAGAAGAGCATGGGGGTTTAAAGAAAGGTTAAGACAGGGAAAAGGAAACGAATGGACTCAGCGGTGTAGTAGGTATGTTGTAGAGAGAGAGATTAGTGGGAATCGAGAGAAGTCGAAGTGGGAAAAGACGAGGGAGGGGGCGCTAGCGGAGGCGAGGAAATAAAGAGAACGGTGGTATGGGATGGAGGAGGGTTGGAAGGAGATGGATAGAAGAGAAAGATGGGAAAAAATATGGAACTCAAAGTACAACAGATGGTACAAGAAACAAAGCAGTACAAGTACCAAAGTATTTGAGTAAGTTGAAAAGACAGATGAAATGGGAAAGGATGGCGAGATTCAGAATGGGAGAGGGAGTGCGAGAGTGTAGGTACTGGTTGGATAGAGAAGAGAGATTGTGTAGAGTGTGTGGGTATGAAGTGGAGGAAAGGGAGCATGTGCTGGAAAGGTGTGCAAGGGGTGTGAGTGAGTATGATAGGTGTGGAGTGGATGTCAAAGTAAGATGGATTTTGAATGAGAATGGGCAGGGCGAGAGATGGAGGAAAGGAGAAAGGCGAATTGGATGTAAGATGTATTAAATGGGGTTTGAATCAGATGGAGTTAAGGGGTGGGCGTTCAGGGGATCGAAGCCAGAAATAAGCGAAATGAACTGGAAACGGAAGCCCTGGCACTGGCGGTTTAAGGCACGGTTAGGGTAGTTAATAAGAATTGCGTTAGGTTAAGAAATTTTATTTTTTTTGTATTAGTGCGTTTATATTAGAATAAGCTTGTTGTAATTAGATTTAAGGAAATATGTATTTGGAGCCTCGAACCCTGCGTTATGGCAGGGAGAGTAAATAAACATTATTATTATTAATTAATTAAATAAAAGTTAAAAAATAAATTATTATTTAATAAAAATTAGTTAGCTAAATATTTAATTAATTAGTTAATTAATATTTTTCTCAGAGAAAAATTGGCAAAAAAATCTATTTCCTGCTTTTAAAAAAATTGTTTCGAACAGGAAATAATCTTAATAATAATCTTATGATTATCTTATATGAAGATTATCTTAATAATAATCTTCTCTTTAAAAAAATGAATTAACTCATTATTTAATTAATTAGTTAATTAACTTTTTTAAAGAGAAGAATTGTCAGAAAAATTATTTCCAGTTCGCAACAATTTTTTTAAAAGCAGGAAATAATCTTTTTGTCAATTTTTCTCTGA